TATATATATATATATATATATATATATATATATATATATACGTATATATATTTCCATGATATATGGCTATATATAATTCCATGATATATAGATACGTATGGAATATTATTTGACAACAACAAAGGAAGTACTAATACATCTTTTATACATATATGATTAAACCTTGAAAACATTAAGTGGAAAAAAATAGTCACATGAGCACACATATTGTGTGGTTCTGTTAATATAAAATGTCCAAAAAAGCAAACCTATACAAATAGAAAGTGGAAGGCTGGGTGTGGTGCCACACACCTGTAATCCCAGCACTCAGGAGACTGAGGCAGGACAATTACTGGTGAGTTCTAGGCCAGCCTGGGCTACAGAGCAAGACCCTGTCTCAAAAAAAAAAAAAAAAAAACAGAAAGATTAATGGTTGCCTAGATTTGGGAGAGGTTAGAGGAAATGAGAAACAACTGCTAATTGGTATAGGGTTCCACATTGGGGTGATAAAAATTGATTACTGTGATGATTGCACAACTGTGAATATATGAAAAAACATTGAATTTTACAACATACAGGCATGAATTGTGTGGTATGTAAATTATATTTCAACATTTTGTTTTGTTTTTTGAGATGGTCTCACTATGTCATCCAGGCTGACCTTAAACTCACTGTATAGCCAGCTGGCCTCAAATTCATGGCATCCTCCTGCCTCAGCCTCCTGAATGCTCGGATTATAGGCACCTCCATGCCCAGATGTAAATGATATTTTAATAAATCTGTAATTAACAGAATTATATATCTCTAAATTAGGTTTGGCTAGAAGCATGTTCCAAGATAATATATTATGGAGAAGAGAGATTTGGTCACAAATATACTTTTTGTAATAGAGGCTTTTTATTTTTAGGTTAAAATGCGATGAACAAGATTTGCTGATTGGGAGGTGATGAAAAACACATAATTTCAGGATCAGAAAACATACTATTTGTAGTACAAAACAGTTTTTATTTGCAGTCAATGAAGATTATAGTGAGGAAACAAATAGTGTCTTTATCAAAGGAATACACAGACTAAACTATAAAAATAATTTTAGTTCCTTATTTACACAGCAATCTGTCATACCAGCTTTAAAATTATACAGTTTGAGGAACTCTCAAGAGATTAAACTGTTCACAATTCTGGAAATTTTCTACCTGCCTACTCATTATTCCTAGAAGTCTAAGGCCTTCATGATTTTACTGGGTAAAATTTAGTCTCTTTGCATCATGATCATTAGGAGGCTGAGGCAGGAAGATTGCCACAAATTCAAGGTCAGCATGGGCTACATAGTGAGTTCAAGGCCAGCCTGAACTACATAGAAGACCCTGTCTCAGGAAAAAAAAAAAAAGAAAAAAATCCAGATGTGGTGGTGCACACTTGTAATCCCAGCACTTGGGAGGCTAAAGCAGAATGAAAGATTGCCATGAGTTCAAAGCCAGCCTAGACTATGTACCAAGATCCTTTCTCCAAAAAAAAGTGTTTGATTCACATCCATGAGGGACATTATACAAATGTGTGAACATCAGAAAGCTTGTATCATTGGGGTCACCTTGGCATCATCTGAACACAGCAGCCTTGAACCTTTTTTATTTGAAGATGGGAAAATGTGAATAAAAGAAATTACTAAACAAAAGTAACTTATGTTTCAGGGGGTTTTTGCACTTCTTTGTTGATTTGTTTGTTTTGCAGAACTAGGAATTGAACCTAGGGCCTTTATGCTGAGCTACATCCCCAGCCCTTTCATTATGTTTTGTTTTGAAACAGGATCTCATTGAGTCTCTCAGCTGTCCAGGCTGGACTTGAACCTGCAATCCTCCTGCTTCAGCATCCCAGAGTGCTGGGGTTACAGGCATGCATCGTCACATCTGGCTCATCTCTTAGTGTTTTAAATTACCTTTCTCTTTATTCATAATCCCCAGAAAAAAAAAAATTGTCATTTACTGCTGTATAGAAAACCACACTCTCAAATTGGTGGTTTAAAATAGTTACTCGCTTGCTGTCCTACGGTTCAGCAGTTTGGGCTGGGCTCAGCCAGGCTGTTCTCCTGCTGGTGTCTGATGGAGTCAGTCATGTTGCCGGCAAGTGGAGAGTCCTTTTGCTCCATTTGAGTAGAAATCATGACTAGATAAAATGCAGCTCCTTAGTGTTAGCAACTCCAAGCTTTGAACGCCTGTGTCTCAGCTTTCATGTTTGTGTCCCTCATCGCTGCTGTCATGGCAGTTGGAGCTAACCATCACTGGCAGCTCTCTGGAGCTCTCCCAGCAGCTGGAGGAGCAGCCCCTGGCAGTGCCCCATTGCTCTCCACCATCCTCTGATTGCCCCACCCTCAATATTACCAGCCCCAACTGCCGACCACTTTCCATGCCAGCAGCCTTTAATGTTACTGTGCAATAGCTTAGCCTACCCTATCTGAGATATAAATCACAAACAAGCAACATAAAACCACCCAAAAGAGGCTTTATTATGTCTTACGTTGCCGCATGAGGGTAAGCAGTACAGGGACTGATCTGATAAGGACGATAAAAGCGTTCTTATATAGACAGGACAGGCTCACACCTGCACAGTGCCCTGCTGGCTAACTGCAGGCTTTCTGCTTAGTCATAATTAGAGCAGTTCCTTACTGATTAGATTGGGGACGTCCGAAGTGGCTACTGAACAAAGTCATCCAGAGATGCTGAGGGTCAGTCATCTGGGATGGCCCTGAGGTATCTGAGTGGAAGAAAGGCCAGATGTGGTACACATGCCTATAATCCCAGCACTCAGGAGCCGAGGCAGGTGGGTTGCCATGAGTTCAAGGCCAGCCTGGGTTACATAAGCAAGTTCAAAACCAGCCTGGGCTGCACAGCTATAGTCAAACAGTAGCTTGAGTTGAGCCAGTTGGTTTAATATGGCCTCACTCACAGATGTGGGGATTAGTGCTGGTGTAAACTGACTCCATGTCTGCAACAGGCAGACTCACTGTTGTTTTTTTTTTTCTTGTTTTTTTTTTTTTTTTCCAGTACTAGGAATCGAACTCACGATCTTGTGCTTGCCAGGCAGGCACTGTGCTGCTGAGCAAAATCCCCAGCCCCAGACTCAGTGTTCTTCACGTGTCCAGCTTCCAAGAGAAAGAGAAGCCACAAGCCCCAGAAGTACAGTATTACATATACTGCATTCTACCGATCAAAGAAGATACCAAGTTGAGCCATGATTCAGTGATAAGAAATAGACACTTCCTGTTTTTCTTTGTAGAATCGCACAAAGTTTGGAGTATCCTTTTTTGTTTGTTTGTTTTTCAATTTTTGAGACATTTCAGGCTGGCTTTGAATTTACCATGGAGCCCACACTGATCTCGAACTCACAACGATCCTCCTGCTTGCGCCTCCCAAGTGCTAGGATTACAAGTGAGTGCCAACCATGCCCAGTTTAGAATTGCACAAAGTTGAAATAGGGAGAAAATGTTCAAATGGGAAGGGGAACTAGAGATGGAGGAGAGGGAAAGGAAAAGAAAAAAATGGTGAGGAAAGAAGGAAAAAATGGAAACAAAGCTTTTGGAAACAAAGCTTTTGGAAACAAGGAGAGAAAGAGGGTTGAAGGGAGGGTAGGAGAATGGGGGGAAAAAGAATCAAGTTATATCATTACAGGTACAAATTCCCTATAATGAGTGCGATCATCATGTATAAGTAAAATGTACCAATAAACCTAATTAATAATTAAAAGAACAATTGCACAAAGCTGAAACCTGTG